ATCCAAAGTTTCCAATTACGCTTAAACAACTTGATATGGGTTTGATCATACTCAAATCCAATCAATTTTGGCTTACCTTGTTGAGACGGTCAATATGACTATACATATGATAAAATAAGAGCTTAAATGATCATTGATTTCTACTTAGAAATATTCCTAGCTCAAAATGTTTTTGAAAAGATACATATATATTTAAAAAGGAAATTGATATTTGGCAGAGACTCAAATATCGATTTCTCATGCGCATCAAGGCTCCATGATGAGAGCCTGCGCCATGTACCTAACTATTCGAGAACCCCGCGCCATGGGGGATCGAACCCGTGACCCAAGGGGACTTACAGTGAACCCCACCAACCAACATGCCACGATTTGCAGCACACACGCACATAAGGAAATTGATATTTGACAAATGCCCAAATATCGATTTCCCATGCACTTTTTGGCCCCATGATGAAAGCCCACGCCATGTGCCTAAAATTCCACAGCTCCCGCACCACGATGAGATCAAACTCTTGACCTGAGGGGACTTACAGTGATCCCACCACCAATATGCCAAGGCTTGTGACATATATAACAAATCATACTTAGCTTCTATGATATTAGATAATTTTTAGAATAATTATATAGAAAACACTTGAAATATTAATATTTATAAAAATGACATCAAGATAAATTTATAAAACATCAGACAAATGCATTTATCAAATCCTACTTCTTATTTTCTGGCAATTTGATTTTGTATATACCAAAAATACCAGCACAAATCTCAAAGAGAACGAACGATCAAGAAGAAAGGGTCTCCTTTTAAGGCAAGCAATCAATCGACCATTCAAGGCCGAGTGTGAAGCCGCATCTCCAAACTTGGGATAGGTTCAAGTTCCAGAGATAGTTCCCTGCTCGGTAGCGACAAGAATCTTCAAAAGTGAGGCGAGAATCATCACAACAACGAGTATCGTCAGATACTTTATATGGGCTACAACAAGGTCTGCTTAAGTTCTTGCAAGTTTGAGAGATCTGGTCGAGGCAACGAACCAACCAGATAGGCAAGACACGAGCCGTGTAAGACTTGAGTTGAACATAAAATTAGCCACGTCTTACTGCGAAAAAGCTAACCAATTACATTTGACCGACTGACCCCGTGTTCGGACCAAACGACCACCTCACAAATTGACCACTCTGGTCGACCATGCCAAAAGACACAGAGCAAGATCACCATATGACTGAACAACTCGACCAACCAGTGCGTACTCTAGAAGGCAAATATGCAACTCATCTGGCAGCCTCAGTCGATTGACTCGAAGCCATCAGACCAGTCAGTTACCAACAATATTAAAATTTAAATTCTAATACAAATATAACATAAAATCTATACAATAAGTTAGAATCTTGACATAAGTACAATTACCTCTCTTTTATGTAATTGTAGAAAATACATATCTATAAGTACGGGACAAAATACAAATAGATGATCTCCTCCCATATTCTCACTAAAATAATTCCAGACTCATTCCAAGTGAAAATTTAAGTACCCAACATCGTTTATTAGTTTTAGATTTTAAAATTAAGAGTTGTAAAATAAAAAATACTAGGACTCATCGTAGAATTAGATGGAGAAACTTAAAAGACACAAATAAATTTATTTTTACGAGTAAAATTCAAGATTTCAAAATTTGGAATATTCATGAAGAAATAAATATTATGTGGGATAAAATACCAAACACTATTAAAGAAGTAGCAAAAGTTGTGCTTGGAGAATCAAAAGAAAAATATTTACAAATAAAAATAGTTGATGGTGGAATAATAATGTGCAAGAAAAGATAAAATATAAGAAGTTATGTTATAAAAATTGGTTTAAATGTAAAAGCTTAGAGAACTGAGAAAAATATCAAACGGTCTAAAAGAACAATCTGTGACGCTAAAAATTCTGCTTTTAATGATCTTTATAATAGATTAGATACTAAGGAGGGTGAAAAATTTATGTATAAACTAGCCAAACAAAGAGAATAGAAAAGTACAGATTTAACTCAAGTAATGTGTATTAAAAATGAAAATAAAAAGTACTTTTCTTAGAAAAAGATATTCAACATAGGTGGGTGAGTTACTTTGATAAACTTTTTAATGAAGTTTCTGAAAATACGATCGACCTTAGTGAT